GAGAGAAAAGCGAGCAACCTAAAAAAAAAAGGAGACATGACCTGTCTCATCGCGATGGCAGAAACATGGCAGTAGGCAAGTCATGGCAGGGATCCCGGCATGGGCTCTGCGTGGTATCGCTAGAAGAAACGATTGGCAGGGTCTGGCAGGGGTGTTTGCTTCGATTAGAGAGAGAGCGGCGGATGGAAGAGCGGTTTGGTCGGACGATTCGAGAGCTATTAGTGATACCTGCAAGCTAGCGAGTATATCATCTACTTGTACCAGTATGTAGGTCCAGGTTGTTCGTAAGGGTACAAAATAGTACCTACCTGTAGTGTTAGATACTGCCTACTAAGCGGAACTAGTAATAGCAAACAAACAGCTAATCCACTCCCTTTTGTTTTGGCTGTTCAGCTCGCGGAAAAGGGAGAGAGAGACACAAGCTGGAGGCGGCTCAGAAGCTCCGAGTCATCGTTTGGCGGCTGGGCATGTGCGGCTGCTAATAAGCACAAGCTGCAATTAGCAGGCGAGACTAACAGGCAGTAGCAGCAACACTAGAACCGATTGCGAGAAAATCTAAAAAAAAAAAAAAAAAAAAAAAAGGGCACAGGACGTGAGTGGTAGAGTGCTTGTAGGCTGGCCCGTTTTTCTTGCAGCAAGCGAGCGGATGGCGCTGAAACCCGGCTTGCTTCTCTTTTGGCTGCGAGCACCAGCCAGGGCTACCCTTACCGGTGCTCGTATGCGGGCGGTTTCTGGCATAATTACCTGATAATAGAGAGCTCTGGTCTGGCGATGCCTACCTATGTAAGTAAGTACCTTGTAATTGCTGACATGTATCTATGTATGGGATTCTCTTACCGTATTTGTCGCAAATACATGCCTACACGTTTTGTTGTTCCTTCTTTCTTTCGGCAACGCATTCGGCATAGTATCATTCGAATTCCCTGGTCCACGGGCCAGAGCCAGCCAGCCAGCCAGCCAGCCCATCACATGTAAGAGACCAACGAATCCAAGACACCGGTCAAGTTGTCACCTATCGCTTGCTTCCAAGTGCGCCACGGCACAAAAGGGGAAAGAAGAAAAAAAAAAGAGGGAAGGGGGGGGGTGCGATGGCATTGACAGCAGCAGATTTCTATCACATCTCCCTTTTTGCTTTTCAGCCCAAGCATCAGACAGAGAGTCTCCGTCGTTGTCCGCCGGCAGCGCTGGGCTGGAGCTAGAGCTCTGCCAGTGAAACGCCAGACGCCGCCAGCCTTGTCTGCCTCTCTTTTTGTCTCTGTCTGTGCGGCGGCATGCGTTCGTACCCGATCCCAACCAAGCGCGCGCGACGAACGGCTCCTCCGCATTGTCCGGCGAACGAGTCCAAGCGGAGGCCGGCTCTGGAGATTTGAGCAAAATGATCGTCGAGCGGACCGGGCGGCCCTGCTTGTGTCGCCCCGGAAGTATCAGATTGCCGCAAGTGGGCACCGAATGCTAGTAGAGCTCCATCGGTATGGGCAGGTATACGAGGAATCTGCCACAGTACGCTGGGAGCGCGGAGAGTGAGAGAAGACTGGACAAGCGGCACTTACAGCCAGAGCAGGGTAGGCCGCGCTGCTGTGACCATTGCCCCTGGCTGCGAGTCGGCCAGCCCTGGGCTGACGCAAGCATTGCTGAGAGCAGCAAACAAAAATCAGTGCCAGGCCAGGTCAGAGCTGGAGCAGGGCCCTGGGTCCGCAGTTCGACGATGGACGGAACGTCTTCGTACCGTGCCAGCAGTATCGTCGCGGTTGCTAGTAGTAATAGCGCCCGGCTCAGAACAGTTTTTGATAATCAAAGAAAAGGAAACGACCTGTAAAGGAGTGAGTGGGCGAGCGGATGCGGCTCTGGTTCGCTAGCTATCGCTTGATACTGCTAGTATGTATCTACTACCACCGCCACCGATATGCAGTATGCAATGGCAGGGAAACGACGCAGAGTTGCAGCAATGGCAACGGCAATGGCATAATAGCAGTAGGTAGTAGTATGAGCGGTAGCAGCAGCATCATCTAATTTGCTGGCACTGCCTGTATTGTCGGTTAATCCTACATGGACGACATGCTCCTCCCGGAGTCGAGATCTGAGCCAGACAATCAGGCTGTGAAGGCACAGTGGCGTCAAAAGAATGAGATGCAATGGAATGGCGGCACGCCCCCCCAATATTTCCACTTGTTTGCATAAGTACTCGAACAGCTCATACAAACAGGTGTTCGATGTGCCTATTTCGTGCTGCAGTGGGTGATCGAGGTGGTGCATTCGCGCATGCGTAGGATAGGATATGTAGCATACATACTACTTGTAGCATAACATAGCCAGTGTGCGTCCAGGCTTCAGCCGTGAAACTTGTCAGTGAGCAGTAGACCAGGAGCCCGGCGGAGTTCGATGCGCCTGCTGCGGTGCCGACAGCCAGCAAATGCCTGCATTTCGCCTGCATATCCCGGTCTCAGCAATGCTCGCCCAAATCCAGAGGCACCATTCACCGTATTCGTCCATACACCATCATCCGCTTTGGCCCTCTTGTCTCTCTTTGTCGTCCCCCCGTCCACTTCGCACGCCCCCTTTCCCCTCTTCTCGGTGTCTAAACGCCCCCTTCCCACTTAGTTCGGATGGTAGCCGTATCGCTGGAAATCGCTTTGCCGGTCTCAAAATATGGGCCGCCAGCGCCATAGCACGCTCGCGTAGATCATTTGGGTTCCGCAGCAGGTGCTAGGTAGTATGGAACCCACAGCAGAGTCAAGAAGTGAATTGAGAAGAACAAAATTCAAGAAACAAGGTAAAGGTTGAAAAGTTCACTTGCCGAACATGGGCTGATTTGCCGTCGTCACATAATCTGTCTGCGATGTATGTCCAATCAGCTTGGCCGATGCTTACGACTCTCCCTCTCCTCTCCCTCTCCCTCTCCCTCTCTCCCTCTCTGAATAACAGGCGAGGAGCAAACATTGGCATGGCAAATTCGGATAAAATCAAAATCAAAATCAATACGAGCCAGCACTTTTCTTTTTTGGCCTAGAACAACACCCAAAAGACAAAGCTAGCTCGATGGCTGAAGCTGGCTTGGTGCTGGTGCTGGTGCTGATGCTGATGCAAACGCACAAAGGCTCCAGTCTCCAGTCTCCAGGCTCTTTCAGCTCGTATGTAGCGTCCTCAGGCCCCGAGTTCCCGGCATCTCAGGACCCCCCGGCCCCCTTGCCTGGCCTAAAGGGCGACTCGGCTGTCGAGGCTACAGGGGAAGGTTGTGGCTGCAGTAGCCGCTGCTGCTTAGCTCCTCGACGGCAGGCGTAGTCGTAAGCCTTTGGGGCAAGGAGGGGCCTCCCGCTGGCTTCTCTTACACGCCGCTGGCAGCTGTTTGCTGCTTGCCCCTTCTTTCCAAGTGCCTTGTCCCCCTTCATCTCTCCCGAGCCGTGCCGCCGTGCCGCCATGCCTTGCCTTTTGGTGATTTGATATTTGATACCATCAGTCTTACTCCTACTCCCTTGGTACCTTAGGTATGTACCATGGTATTACTTCCTTGTGCCTTCTGGATTACTTTTACCGAACAGTAGCGTCTTGCCTCAGTGTTGGCACTAACACTAGCACTGGCACTATCAATCACCGTCACGAAGGAATGGCTCGAATGGGATGGATTCTCAATGTTAATCTGCTTTCAGTTTCAAGTACATGATGCTATCATCCATAGCTCAGCTCGGCGTTGAACCTAGTAGGGATCAACGCTTTTTGCCTTTTCGTGCGTATGTGCGTGTCTGTGTGTGTGTGTGGTGGCCAGCGTCAATCATCAACAGCCAGCTCAAAGTAATAGTGCAGGCAGCAATGCAGCCTGCAAAGTGAGTGTGGCTGAATATTTGTCTCAGTAATACGGATTGGTATCTGACCGACCGACAGCAGGTTTGATTGCGGAAAAAGCAGGTTCGCGGCCTGGGAATCATGCCACTACGAGACACTTCCCCAGGGAAACCATAGCCTGCTCGCCAGCTCCCACATCCCGGCTCCATGGATCTTGTCTCTGTCTCTCTGTGTCTCTCTCCCTCTTTGACACAACGGATATCACACATCCACCATACATTGGAACGATGGACAAGCAGCAGTCATCTCTATGCCATGGATCATGGGTCTCTCTCCCCCCCTCATGCTTACAACGTACGCATCAGTCACAGTGCCAACGATGTAACCCAAAAATAACAATGCCGGCTCTACGTTGACCACGGTATGCTCGCCACCTGGCATTGCAGCAGTTTGGATGTGTGTACGCATGCGTGGTGGTGGAGGAAGAAGAGGAGATGGAGGAGAAGGAGGAGAAGGAGGAGCAGCAGCCAGCAACAAGCACCAGTCATGGACCGTTACTTTGGTATGCATGTACTGACTTGCTCTTCTCTTGCTACAGGGATCCCTGACTTCTCCGGAAGCTTGTCTTGCCCGGCTGCAACAACTTTATCGGAAGATGGCCCGACAACCCCGCCTATGTGTGTATCCCTGGAATATGGGTTTCTGGATCATTGCCTCGACAAACGAGCCAAGCGAGAGTAAGATGGGGAGTTGTAGGAAAGACGATCATCTGAGCCTCCGCTGCGTATAGGAGGGTATATCGCTTGATAGTAGACCGTTTGATAAACCAGCCAACCAACCAACCAACTACAATTCCTCGCTTCCATGCTAGCTGCGACATAGGCAGGCAATCTATCCCTCCCTACATAGACTATCACCTCGCAAACGGCCACTACATACTATTAGCCACCGCTGCGCTATAGCATCACACGCTACGTCTGGCGAGATTAGATTGATCAACTGCCTATTGCCGCTGCTTGCATTTCGCTACTGTCGGCCGGGCTTTCTGGTCATGCCTAAGCGATGCTACGTGTTTCACCGGCTGCATCCTCCGAGGGCGATTAGAAAACCCATAACATCCATACAGTAGCAACGAAGCCCGACGAGTGGGCCTTTTTGTTGCTGCTTGGCACAGCAAGTACAAGGAACAGCTACAGCAGATGTTCATATAACAACCCTTGCCCTTGTCATTGTCTTGCTTCATGTACGTAGCATGCACTGCTTATACGATGCCCGTATGTAGGCATATGTGGGAGAGCATATGTGCATGTAGGTTACAGTCCTATGGCATGCACTGTACAGCTCCCCCAGCGCCAGCAACGCACATACTTGTCCTTGGATTTCCGCCTATCAAATCGCCGACCAGGAGTCCAGACCCATGAAAGATAGAGAGCACCAGCATGGATGTAGTACTTGCATGCACAGTGAAAGGAAACAAATCACTTGTCAGTTTCCATTGTATGAATCCTTCATCGCTGTAATCGGAAGAAGCGACTTTGAAAACAATATTACCCCAACAAGAAAGTAGCCTTGTTCCGCTAGTCCCAATTAGGCACTGACCATCCACTTCAAAAGAAAAGAATTATGCAAGAGTCACCACCCCTCACCAGAGCTATCGATTGACGGATTGGTTTTTGAATCTCATGCAACTCCAGCAAAAGCAGACGCAAGCTTCGAACATCAAACCGCCCCAAAGAAATCCTCGCTTCCACCAGCCTCGAACCAATTCCGTGACTGAATCCCGCCCCCCCTGTTCAAGAACCCCGGTCGGATAAAAACAGACAAGAGCAAAATAGAGGGAGAGACAAGCGGCACAGACCGAGAAACCGAGAGACCAAAACGATAGACGGAATCGCCGCAGAACAAGCCCAACCAGTAACTTTCCAGCTCTCGGACCCCCCAGTCAATGCACAGTGGCCACAATGTCCGATAGACCTTTCCACAGAGGCGGCCGCGGTGGCGGTGACCGAGGAGGTGGTGGCGGCGGTTACCGAGGCGGACGAGGAGGAGGAGGAGGTCGAGGTGGTGGTGCTAGAGCCGAGGCTGGAGCTGGCGGTGCTCAGACGGAGAGGCCCAAGAAGGAGAACATCCTGGACCTGGCAAAGTACATGGACAAGGCCATCATCGTCAAGTTCAACGGCGGTCGAGAAGGTAAATGCGAGCAACCCAGACAAAGCAACAAGAGACCATAACAAGCAAACAAACGCTGAAACAAAACAAAACACAGTCCGCGGTACGCTCAAGGGCTATGACGCCCTCATGAACCTCGTCCTCGATGAAGTCGAAGAAACCCTCCGAGGTAAGTTGCTTGTCTTCTCACGTCGACCTCCACAACTCAGCCCATCATCGTCGAAGAAGTCTGGCCCTGTAATTAACCACAAAGGAAACTAACCCCAAACAACAGATGACCAAGGCAACGAAACAACGCGATCATTAGGTCTTGTCGTCGTTCGCGGGACGCTTCTAGTCCTCATCAGCCCGGCGGATGGCAGCGAAGAAATTCCAAACCCCTTTAACGCAGCAGCAGACGAGTAACACCAGCAACACAACAACCCGTACGATGATCTCCGCCAACGGCCATTTTTTCTTGGCTGAGAGGGGGAGAAGAAATTCTAAAAGGGCGGAGCAAACAAGGAAAACGAAGGTGTAAAAAAAGATAAAAGGGGGCCCTCATTTTTGACACCATCAGCTATAAAACACAAATGGATGGAAAAAAGAATGAGAGGATGTGTATTTTGGGTGTTCTCTGTTTTAGATATATGTATGTAATACCTTTTTGCTCTCGAGAGACAAATGATGGGGAGAGTTTGATCAAAACGAGCGATCAAAACGAGCGATCAAAACGAGAGAATAGCTGGCGAGTTTGGATCCGATGCCGACTGCCTTTCCATCTCCTGGATAGGACAAAGAGGAACCGGTAGGTAGTTTGTTTGTTTACATCTGCTTATACTTGGCTAAGCATGGGAAGCTGCCAACCAATGAAGTGGTAGATGGAGAGAGAAAGAGATGTCTTCCAAGCCGTCAGTGCATCTTGCCACACATCTCGGAGAGTGTGTATAGCACGACAATCAAGCTTTTGGGCCACCTGACACGGTACGATTCAAAATCAGAATATCACGTTATTTATAAACCATGACACGATGCACATTCATTAACAGTATACATCTTTTTTTGGAGTTTTGTATCTGTAAACATAAGGTACTAGTATCGCTGTGTCTCCTCTCCTAGGCCTCACTCCTGCATTTCCATCTATTCATCTGCTTTGCCAATGTCCATAAAACCAATAAAACTTGTTTGAAAAATCCAACAATCGCTCGCTACTTTGATGTAGCATATCGCTGCGCATCCATCTCTTGCGGATGCTCCCTCATGTCCACCCCCCAAATCATCGTCTGTACACCTGCCGATTCCACAAGAGGGATCATGGCTTAGTCTTCCTAAAAGGACCTCCCTGCTTTAGTAGAGGCCTTGTAAACGTCGCCAAATGCGGCAAGCAATTGCTTCTTGACATCCTTGAAGCTGACAATGATGCTGGTCTGCTCGTCTCTGCTGGTCAGGCGAATATTCTCATCTGTCCCGACATCGAGTCTGTTGAGGGTCCTCAATATGTGCCCCAAGTCAAGAACCGGGTTGCCGTTGCCATCCACTTGATGGAAGAGATAGTCTCTAAATAGCTTCAACATGTATCGCTCTCCGCAATCCGACCAGGCTCTGTCATTCTCGTACTCTGGTCGCTCGTCTATAACGCCGAGTTTCAGCACCAATCTCAAGAGCCTTGAATTCTCCAGCTCTTTGAACATTTCAGATTTAAGGTAGTCGTAAGAATGGTAAACCTGGTTCATAGTGGTCAAGATATGATTGGCTATGCCGGGAATGAAGTCGTCGATCGACTTTGGGTGCGCAGGGGGCTGCGCCGGTGTCAAAAGCCACATGATAGTATCTTTGAGTTCCGTAGAGTAGTTCCTGCTCATTTGCTCTATCGCCGCATTCATGTTGGTCATCTGCATGGGCATTGTGTTGGTGGCCAAGCAGAGCAAGGTGCGGCCAAAGTGCACCAGGTCGTCTTGCTGTAGCTGGTCCATCGATTTTTGGACGTCAAATTGCGTCACGTCCAGTACGGCACACGCACTCAGAACAACTCTGTTCTTGTCGATTAGAATGATTTTGCTGGGGTCGAGGCAGCGGGCTGCCAAGTTGTTGCTGTGAATGGCTTTTAAGGCGCCAGCAATCTGAGAAATGTACCCCCAGAGCACCGCTTCAGTGACGGCTGGTTTGGGCTGAAGGCGATTTGACCCATGCAGCACGCTTGGAACGAGGTGCACTTCGGCCAAGGTCTTGGCCAACGGAAAATATTGTTGCGCAATGACCAGAGAGCTATCACCAAACGCCCTAGTGGTGAATGCATCGTTGATGCTGGCAACGTAGGGATTAGCAATCCGTTTCCATTCCTTGACGGACCGGATTGCTTGCTCGTTGGTCAACCTAAAACCTTCCAATCTCCGCAGGCAGTAGAGTTTTCCATCCTTGGATGACGTGGCTTTGTACACCCAGCTGGGGTAGCCAAATATGCCGGCGTTTTTGCGATGTGTCGTGTCCAAGGCCACCAGCGAGTGGTAGTTATCCAATTCTGGTAGCTGGGAATTAGGCATTACTTGCAACGCTGCCGCGGACTGTTTCTGCATATCTTCCCTCATGGTGTCAGATATGAAAAAGTCGTGAGTAAGACGATTGTATGGCATGACGTCTTCTCGATATGGCCCGATAGGAGCGTAGAGATGATACTGCAAAGGTTGTGAAGGCGGTGCATAGGCGTTCTGGGCCGCAAAGTATGTAGATGGTGCGCCGGTCATGGCGCTATGTTCCTCAGCATATGGGTTATATGGCGTGGTAACCATGCTCTGATTCGGCAGCGCAAATGGGTCGTATGAGAGAGCTCCATCGTTTGAACTGCCGTTTGTTGCAGCAGCCTATACACGCACTTGTTAGAGAGACGGTAAAGAGGGAACAGGAACGAAAAGGATCAAATCCTTGGGGATGCCATACGGTAGAGCTGAGATCAAAGCTGGGTGTAAATTCGCGAATAGAAGCAGGGTTAAAGGCTGGCGCTTCGGTATCCGGTATGGTAGATGGTGTGGCGGCTATAACGTGTCCATGTCAGCACAGAGTCCAAGCCAAATTTAGGAAACCGCCGTTGCTGCTCACCTCCCAAGCCACGCGGAGTAAAAGAGGGGGCAGTCACCGCTTGCGACGAGAATGTCGGTTTTCTCTGTACGGGCTGCAGGGTCGAGGGTGTAAAGGACGGTGACTCAACATTTAGAGTCTTCTTGGTGCTGCAAGCAGAGGGGATCATCGGTTAGCCAGGACCTCTTGTTTAGCCAAATGACAGAGAGAGTATAGACTTGGACACCTACCTGCCGTTGTCCTGTTGGGATAAGCTCGCCTGGGAAGAGCCCGCCTGGGAAGAGCCCGCCTGGGAAGAGCCCGCCTGGGAAGAGCCCGCCTGGGAAGAGTTGCCCCTGGTCTGATCATGCATAAAAATACAGCCTTGGTCTTCATATCGACAGTGGCCGTAGATCAGAATGTTTCTGCAGAGCGTGTCTCTAGGGACGTTTTCTACAGTTGGTTGTACGATCACAATCAGCCAAGTTCTGAAATCATGACACAGCATTCGGTATCAGTAACTCAGTAACTCACCTCGAGGCCTGGGCCTTGGCGAGCCAACCTGGCGCCGCAGCTCGGTGGTTTGGTATCGCGGGGTCGTCATTGTGATTGAGCAGATGTTCCAAAAAGAGGGCCGTCCCCGAGGTCGGATTTACGACTTCTGAGCAAGGTTATCAGTGTCTGTATGTATGTTGGTCTTCGTACGTATGTCTAGTATCAGCTAATATAGAGAGCGTGACGTAGCGACGAGGGTCGATGGTGGACAATATCGAAATGCGTGCGTGTGGTAGAGTAGAGTAGAGTAGAGCGCGAATGGAGAGCTGGGAGAGCGGTATATAAAGTAAACAGATAGAGATGTGCAAATGAGTAAACAGAGACGAAAGCAGGGGCAGTCGGCGAGATTATGTAGAAAAGTCAAAAGAAAGAAAAGAGGCGCTGCGGTGGCTTGTCAACATACTGGACTGCAGCAACCGTCTCCCATGGCTCAATTGATCGGGGCGATCGCGCGCCCATGGACGAAGCACGAAACTTTGAGCCCGAGTCGCTGGGCAACGGTGTCCGCCACTCCTTGGGCGGCTGAACAGAGTTGAGGTCGGAGAAGTCCCTGGCTGAGTGGGGAGTGGATAGACAGAGATGGTGGTGAGAGGCGCGATCTTGGGGAGGTTAAAGCAAGATCTGGGCCTTGGATCCGGGTCCCGGAGCCAGGAAAATGACATAATCCGAAAGGTTGCCGGTCTATAAGATTACCGCCGAGGGCGCAAGTGCGGGAGCCACAACGGCGCCTCTGAGAGTATCGACATTCTGTAAAAATTAGCCGATATTATATTTATTTGACTCGGAAGCATACAAATTTACGTTTGATACAGACGTATTAAGTGTATTTCAAGTCGTGAAATAAACCATGTACAAATGTTTGTTGCTTGCTATCACTAGCGCGTAGGTTGTAAATTCAAAGAACGGTAGAAGCAACACCAGGTAAAATAAGCTGATAATTCAAAAATCAGTGTCTCTCAAGTACAGTAAAAGATAGAAAAAGTGTTGTTATCTTATGTGCGGAAGTAAAATCCCCATGGCTCTATCGTCATGCCTGCAACCGCCTCGCAAAATACAGGGTGCCCTGCAAAGGGCTCGAATTATACGGCTCCACTTCTATAAACCCTTCAGACTTGTACAGATTAATCGCGGCCGTCATTTTCGAGAGCGTGTCCAGCAGCATCTCATCATATCCTTCATCCCGGGCTCGTTTCTGCGCCTCTACCAACAGCGTTTTAGCAACCCGTCGCCCGCGAGCTTCTGGGTACACAAACAAGCGCTTGAGTTCGCAGTAGCGCAAGCCTTCTGATCGTGACGTTAGGTATACAGATTCAAGGTATAGTGGCCGTAGAGCAATACAGCCGAGTACGGCGTCTGTTGTTGAGTCCACAGCAAGGAGGAGAGCCCCAGCAGGTGACGCATATTTCCCGGGTAGCCCATTGAGTTCCGCGTTGTAGTTTTGATGCGTCAAATCTTCGTCCAGCCAGGCTGTGTAAGCTTTGAAGCACTCGACTACAGAAGCTAAATCTGCCGAGGACGCTGCCTGACGAACAAGAACGGACGAGGATGTTGGCGGTGTTTCCATGATAATGCACAGGGCGCACATATACCCGGCAACTGATGCGTGGTAATTGGTATCAACGAAGGGGAATTATCATAGACAGCTCTATTGAATTTATATGAATAGCAGGCAGAGTTTACCAAGGCTAAGTAGTATATATTATCAACAGCTGCCTAGGTTGGTATTGAGTGGAGAGAATGGAACCTTTTAGACTTGGAGTGATTCATTGCCGGCACCGGAGGTTGAAGGCCGTCTCGGGAGGATTTCGCCCGATAACATTTGTATAAAAATATGTTTCAGCCAATGCTTTGAAGATACCTAAGTAGTTCAAACGAGTGATCAAAAGTACCAAAACGCCAATATTCATGCGCAAAGCTACAGCGTGATAACTTATCGGCGGCGTCCTCTGTGTACACCGTTGAAGCCTTTAGAGCTGCTTCAACAGTGACAACCACTGGCGGGGCTCGGATGATGGGCGAAGCATCCAATGCTAGGCGTTGGAAGCAGCTTAGCGCTTTCGACTGCAAGACCCGGCTCCGCCAATGAGGTAATGTCTCAACTCAAAGCTACCTACCTACCCGCTGTATTGAAGATTCCAGACCTTATCGACATCCCCAAAACTTGCATCACCGAGCAATCCGTTTTCTGCTGCAGATCGAGAGGCTGCATGGACGGCAGAGGCGCATCTTGATTTGTCTTTAATTGTTTCCTTTTTCTTCTTTTTTGTCTTCTTTTTCTCTTTTTGCATCTCTATTTTGGGTCACTGTCCGCGTGCCAACGATGGCGGACGCTGCAGACGATACGGGACAGCTGTCACCAAGCCAGCAAGATGCGCTGCAGCAGTTTATGCAGCTAACAAACCAAGAGGCAAAAGACGCCATTCCGCTGCTATCAAGGTCAGAATGGAATGTGCAGGTGTGTTGTTTCTTCTTCTTCTTCTTCCCTCTATCCCAAACAATTGCTTCGTTATCTTTGCTTACCATTCGCCTCAATGTCTAGATTGCCATCACAAAGTTCTTCGACGGCGAGACGGCCGATCCTGTCGCCGAGGCAATCGCCGCGCAGGAAATCCCACGATCAGCCGCGCGCCATGAGAATCTCCAAGAGAGCCTGCTGATGGACGCGGAACGACCATCGAGATCGAATCGGAGAAACAAGACCGACGCCGCCCCCCGAATTGTTCCTCAGCCACCCGTGATTCACCGGACACCGTGGATGATTGGCCTCCTACTCACGCCCTTTAGCTGGGGCTGGCGGGTGGCTTCGACTCTGCTACGCACGATCGGCTACATCTTGGCGTTCCTACCTGCTTCTATCCGGCCACGAGCCGTGACCAGCGGTCTGGCTACGGGGTTCAGAAGTCCAAGTGGTCGGCGGATGCTTATGCCGCGGGATGCCGCAGCTAGATTCAGACGAGAATTTGACGAAGAGTACGAGGGAAATGGGCTTTCATTCTTCGAAGGAGGCATAGCTCAAGCTCATGACATTGCCAAAAGGGATCTCAAGTTCCTCTTGGTCCTGTTCATGTCTCCAGAGCACGACGACACCGAATCATTCATTCGGAACACGCTTTTAGCTCCCGAGGTTGTCGAGTTTATCAACGACCCGGCGAACAACATAATCCTCTGGGGAGGCAACATTCTGGATTCCGAGGCATACCAGGCAGCCACCGAGTACGCTTGCACAAAGTATCCCTTCTCCGCCCTGGTATGCTTGACACCAAACGAAGGCAGCACTCGCATGGGCATTGTAAAGCGATTAGTAGGCCTCATGCCGCCTTCGACTTACCTATCCGAGTTGCAAGCTGCTATGGAAAAATACGGCGCCGACCTGAATAGGGTACGAGCCGAAAGGGCCGCGCAGGATTTCGCCCGTACCCTACGTGACGAGCAAGATTCAGCATATGAACGATCGCTGGCTATTGACAGAGAACGCGCGCGGGAGAAGAAACAGGCCGCCGAAGCTGTTGCAGCGGCGGAGAAGCGCGCTTTGGCAGACGCTGAGGCAGCTGCCGAGCGAGCTGAGAAACGCCGACAGTGGAAGTCTTGGAGGGCACCTCGGATTTTGCCTGAGCCTCCTGCCAGCGAGAGAAAAGTCGTCAGGGTTGCACTCAAGATGCCTGAAGGCTTAGGAGGGGAGAGAATTGTGCGGCGGTTCGTTCAGGACGTTACTGTCGAAGAGCTCTATGCGTTCGTAGAGTGTCAGGACATTCTCCGCGGCGAAACTTTGGAAGAGGAGAAGGTGGAGAAACCAGATGGGTACGAGCACAAGTACGAGTTCCGGATAGCCTCGACCATCCCCCGTGTGGTGTACGAGCCAAGCACAACTGCTACGATGCTAGAGACGATTGGCAAGTCCGGCAACCTTATCGTAGAAGAGTTATCAGATGACGAGGATGAGGATGAGGACGACGACAACGACATGTAATGGCTTGGGGAAAGCAATGGAGAAGTATGGAGCTTAAGACGGCGATATAGAAATACAATCCATCACGAGTGGGCTTTACACCCAGCTTCCACCGCAAACTGCATCATAGCCCCTATGAATGCTACCTAAAAGGGCTTGGTTTTTTTTTTTGTGGTACCCTTAATGTATCAGGATAGGTTTTAGAAGTCATTTTTTTGGGAGACGAGAATCAATCATAAAATTTTGCAGAATCATGAGACACTGCTATTCATGTTGCGGTCATGTTGTTGATGCCACTTCCGTCATCGCCTCGCCTCCATCAAGAGACAAACGTTGAGACAAACCACAATGCCAAGTGTTAGTAATGGAGTATGGCTTATGGAAGATTACGTAGAGGCCTGAGGCTGTGCACGACACATACTGCAAAATCTGAGTGGTGTGGCACATGCCTTACAAGAGAGAGAGAGAGTCATGGTGGTGTTGCGGACGAATGGGATAACATGGAGACGGCGCAATCGGATGTTTGCCGGCTGCTCAAGGGCAACGCCGCGAGGGTTTCCCGACTTGGCGTAGAGCTGATTAGAAGAAACCAAAGGTGAGAAATGGGATGCCTCCCTTCCTCCACACGTTTATTGCCGTTAAGCTTGCAGACGATGATGCTAGTAGAATATCAGATCGATCAAGCTGTAAACGTTGTTTTACATATGGGTATCATATGGGTATCTACCTTTTACAGTTATTCCACAGCAGCCGTAATCACTTATAGCTTCTCAGCAGTAGTTGTCTTGGCATGCCAATACATACACTCATTCAGATCATATTTGTCGTTGATTCCAAGCTGGAGGTAACCCGCAGATCCCCCAGCTGCGCCGCCTTCCATTACGCACTTTGTTTGGGTAGCAAACTGCAGGCCCGTTATTGCTAGATTCATACTACTACTACTACTACTAGTACCAACGCTCAGCCTGGGCTTGGCGGCTTGTACAGCGGTACCTCAACGGAGCTCGCGGGGTACCTTAGCGCACAGGAATCGTTCCGCACGATTCGTCAGCGCCGCGGCGAGGCCAAGTATTGCTCCAAGTATGGAATACCTGAGGGGACCCTGGTCCGCCTTAGACTCAATCCAGCAAACGGCGTACCCCGAATTTTATTTCAAAGACGGCAGAGACGACGTCAAGTCGCATCGCGTTGGGCTTGTTGGAGAAAATAAATTAGAGCCCAGACCAAGGCCGGGCCAGGCCAGGCAGCCACGCGCGCTTGGAGAAAAAAAAGAAAGGAAAAAGAGGAAAGGCTAGAAAGAAGCGAATCAATCGAGAAACAGCCGAGAAAAAAAAGAGGACGAAACTAAAGTCAAAAGTGAAAAGACAATCCGGGTTGAAACAGCGACCCCTAGGAGAGAGAATAGTTTGAAACAAGAGGCATGTGAAATGGAAATAAAAATAAAAATAAAAATAACTTAAAAAGAAACAAACACTGCAAATGGCCGCGCTTGAATCTCTTCCTGTTTCGTTTGCTGGACCCCTGGATTGCTGGATTGCTGCCGCATGATTTTCCCCGAGGCTGTCGAGGCCGGCTTTAAAAGAGCAGCTAGAGCTGTTACAGGTTGTTGCAGACCAGCGCCTGTAACCCCCAGCCCAAAACATCCATCACAACCAAAGATACTCACTCGGACCACCACCCGAATCCTCTTCGCCTCCCACCTCCAAACTCCTCAAATTTCCCCTCGAAATCGATTCTCTCTCTCTCTCTCTGTTTTTCTTGTTTCTGCCTGATGTCGAGTTCCCATTTCTCAAAACCCACTTTTTGAATGACGACGTGACCACCGATTCTCTTCTCTTCTCCTCCTTCATCCTTTCTCTCTCCTCTCCTCTCCTCTCCTCTGCCCCGCTAAAAGTGCCCAACGCGCTTCGACTTCGACTTTGCCGCCCGAAGAGAGCACAAAAAGCGAATAGATATCGCTCAACATGAAGTCGATGAAGGGTCTTAGTGTGAATAAGATGCTGGGGAGCATCAGGAAAAAGACTGGTATGGACCGCTTCCCTTGTCTATCTGCCCTTTGACGCTCGCTCCAGGCCTTGTGCATACTCGACGATACTGGCTGAGCCGACGATGTGATCGATGCGATGCTCGATATACAGTCTCTGGGAGATGGAAACGAAGCTATAAGAAAGCATCAAGGCTAATTCTTCTCTTCCTCTCTTCTTGTTTGCTACAGGTGGCTCTTCCGATCGTTCAACTGCGACTACTCCAGCAGCTACTCCAGAAGTGACAGCCCACAACAGCGTAGTATGTTATCTCCGTCATCAGCTGCTGTTCACGGCGCAACAGGCTCTTCCGTTTGGGCGCATACGTTTGGACTAACCGAGCCTCACCAGAAAGCATTTTGCGAGTCCGGCGGAAGCTTAAAGGTGCGTAACGCCCCCCTCAAACCTTCTGGTAGATGCATGTACGAGTTCGAGACAGTCTGGCTGACCATGGCTTTCCTGTCGTTCCTGTGTAGCAGAGTGACGAAGTGCTTTTCCTCCCTCCAATCGTCGATGCCGCCGAATCCTCGCCTGCCGCCGCCGCCGAGAGCGCACGCATAATCCGAAAATACATGGCCAAGGACTACTCTTCGCGGCCGTCATGGCAGTACAACGCCATCATGCTGATGCGCATCCTGGCCGAACACCCGGGCGAGACGTTTACGAGGAACATCGACGCCAAATTTGTCGATGCGGCGAGGGCGCTGCTCAAGAGCACAAAGGATAACAACGTGCGCCAGATCCTCATGGACACGCTGGAGGAGTTTGAACGCGCCAAGTTTTACGACACGAATCTGACGCTCATCATAAGCATGTGGCAAGAGGAGAAGGACAAGGCCGTTGAGAAGCACGGGGTACGTGACGATGGGCACTTTTTCTTTCATCGTTTTGTACTTTCATCGTCTTCTGTTTTCTTGCGACTGTTACTGTTTCTATCTTTTAGCTCTTCCTGCTTTGGCTATGGTTTCTTTCCTTGTCACTTTAGCAGCTCCTATCCCCTATCTGTTTCACTTGTGCAACCAACGCTTGCCCCTTTCATCCATGGCGATGTCGACTCATTCGCTGACATGAAAAAACAACCTAGAACCGAGCACCTGCATTGCCTGTGCGTCCCACACAGTCCTTGGCGCCTGATTTTTCCAGCAACGGACAGTCGCAAAATTATTTCTCTAGGCACCACAACAACAACCGATTGCCGGAGCCCGCTGAGCTGGTCGGCAGGCTGCAGGAGGCGCGCGAGTCTGCAAAACTGCTGGAACAGCTTGTCATGAACACGCCGGCCGTGGAGATCCTGGACAACGAACTGATCCGGGAGTTTTCAAACCGATGTCTGAGCGCATCGAGAAGCGTCCAGGGCTACATGTCGTCATCAACCCCCGCGCCCGATAACGACACCATGGAAAGCCTCATCGACACCAATGAGCAGCTGCAGACTGCGCTGAGCCAGCACCAGCGCGCCATGCTCAGCGCTCGAAAGCAGCTGGGCCTCAATGGATCCGAAAACCCATCTCCTGCTCCCGAACAGCAGTCGCTCCACGGCTCTGGCGGCTCCAACGGCGTTCAGGGGTGGCAACCTCCCGCTGCTGCGGCGTCATCATCCAATTCCAGCCCGGCACCTGTTTCTCATGCTTTTGGCGGCAACAGCAACGGCAACGGCAACGGCAACGGTAATGGTGGCGGCAGCGGCAGCGGAAGCAGCAGCAATAAAGGCAAAGGCAAAGATTCGGATCTCTACAACCCTCCATCTCCTCCGCTAGACCCGGGCCGAGGCAGGGCGCCGCCACCTGATCCGGTGTCTCCCATAGACAACCCGTTTAGCGACCCACAGCCAACGAGCTCAAATGGCCAGCTTGCGGTGCCCCTTGACGGGCCTTTCCAGCCAGGCTTTGGCCTGAAGAACCATCAAGACGGCTCGTCAACACATGGTACTACAGGGTCTGGGCACGCTTCTGAGAGCCACTCAACCCGTATCATGAACACTGACTACCAGGTTTCAGACGATGAAGACCTTTACTCTTCTGCCCCCAGGAGCAGCAAAGAGCCTATGTATCGGTACTAGGCAAACAGAAAGAAAGACGGTGGCTAAGTGACGGAAGAATTTCGGTATCAAGGCCATGAATATAGGTAATTTATAAGATCAAGTGGGTAGTCTTTTGGAAGACGGGGCGGAGTTTTTCTATCCGATCATCATTCTTATTATATCATTATTGCCATTTGTTTGGCTATTTAGAGAAGTTGGCGGGTGCTATTTGACTTTTGGGTACTGGCTTGGCCCAAGGTTTGCGTGTGTTCTCGCAATATCTTAGTTATTTTTGCAAGTTCTCTGCTTTTTGTTTTCTCATTTATTACAGCGAAATACCACCTTGTCGTTCAAGCAGGCATGAAATCAAACGGGGGACTTCAAAGACAGAGACATCATTTTCGTCCATCATGTATATGTGCGTTTGATACAATCTACTTATGTTATATGGAAGCGATTTTGACTTTGCACTCATGGTACCTACTCTTTACCTCTTAGCAGTCTGTAGAAAGGTACCCGACATCCCAAGATCACGCAGGCAGTCTGTTGACTCCACAGCCCTCCGCTTAATAACATGTACCTACTAGGTATTTAGCTCTTTAACAACTGAGCCTGTTTGTGGCGGAGGATACTGTTGAAGCGGGCCAACTTCCAAGCTCCATTACGAAGTATACCATACCAAAGATAAAGTTCCTCGCCGATGGCTTACCAACTGGAGCAATGGCGAAGCCACCTATACGTAAGCCACTCATACGGAAGCCATCTCTACGGAGGCCAGCCTTGAGCCTTGCAGGTATAAGACCCCTGGGTGGTTCCATGGAAGATGGACGAAAGCCTTCTTTCACAGAGCCTTCCTCATCGAGCAACCTTCAAGCACGATCCAACGTACAAAGCTCTGCACGATTTCTTTTCCCAAAAGGTTAGCTTTGCAAACAGAGCAAACGACGGTCTTCTACCAACATTCTTTTTCCTCTCCAGCTTTAGCCAAAATGAGGGGAATACTGAAGCTCGTCCTTCTCCTCGCCATGGCGATGGTTTGCTCTCCCATCTCAGCGATCAGAGTTCCCCAAAGGCTCCCCGACGGCGTCTACGAGCTCAGCACTCGCCAGTTCATCGCATCAAGCCCTACTTCGTCGCCCGCTACGACATGGAAATGTACACCAGCGTCAACCTCACGGCCATGAACAACGACGACCGAGGCCCCTTCGCCAGCACCCGCCACCGCTGCTCCCGAAACGTCACCATCGAGCACGACTCCCGGAACGTCACCGCCGCGAGGGCCATGCTGAGCAACTGGTGCGCCATGTATCAGCCTCGCATCCGGAGTGTCGTCGTCGCGGTGCAGGGCAACGAGGTATGGTACATGTGCTCCTACAAGAAGAAGCACCGCTCTCCTGTGCTGCCTGAGATTCCGCAGTCGTGTGCGCGCGAGGAGATTGACATGGTCTCTAACCGGCTTGACCGCTGGTGCGGCGCGGATAAGACTGCCGCGGTCGACATTGACGACTGGGCCCTCACGTATGGGAGGACGCAGAGGAGTGTGTCGTTTTGTAAGAGGCAGCAGCTTCGGCGCCCTGAGTGGCTGCGGAAGCCGAATGGCATCCATATCGATCCTGTGCCCGAGGAGAAGGGACCGGAGGAGGAGGGACCGGATGAGGGTTAGATAAAGAAGAGAGTGGATGATGGCGTTGAGGGTAGACAAGATGGTTGGACTCCTAAGATTATGGAGAGCTACATGCTGCGGATATTGTAAGACTAGAAGGGTAGCCGGCTTGCGGACATTTTTCTTTTGCTTTTCGGTTTATCGACGTGTAACTACAAGTGGTGGGTGAAACTGATGGAGAGCATTTTGAATTTGGCATTAATTGATATCTAAATTGAGTAATGGCCTTCGGTTGATGAGAAGCAAGAACTACAACAAGAAACAAGATTTATAGTATAATACGAATAAAGGCCTTGGAAATGGCGATATTCGCTATGCAAGTTCGAGAAACGGGGCTGTGTTGGTGTCGTTGATTCTGTCGTGGCTATTGTGTCGAAAGCAGCTGCCAATCTGCACCTCTTTCTACAGTCTTTTCTTTTTCACTTCCCTTCCCTTCCCCCCTCCCTTCTTCTTTTCTTCTGTGACCTCACTGCGCCTTTTCCCGAATCCAAAAAGATTTTTTTTCCCTTCTTCCCCGAAGTGACTTGGCTTATTCTTCAAACGACATCTACAGTCTCGGCATCACTTTCTGGGAGTTTTCGAACAGCAGCATTCGAGATACACACAAGCAAGCATGATATGGGCGCTAATTCTGCCGCATTTCTCCCACTTGGGCTGGGATCTCGGATCTGACTCACTTTTCTCGTTTGAGCTTGCTTCTTCCCAAAAGCCGCTCTGCGGATTTTGTGGATATCACACCAGCGATAGATGGAGCACTGGGTCCTAATCAAGGGTTAGCCAAAGCTTCTTCTCTTGCTTTACTTGTACTTGATAAAGCTTGAACTCTACTTAACTCCTTTACCACAGACTTATGTCTTTTCTCGTCGGCTCTCTATGTTCGGTCCTCGTAACAACACAATTCATCAGCTATTGCACGTTTCAAGTGTATTGTAACACCCCTCTTTCTCGAAGACTTCTCAAGATTGATTTCTTCATTCACGACGAAGAAAGGACGGCTTACTGATAGAGGACAGTCGAAGCGATACAAGAGAGACGCGAATATTTGCCCAATTTTTCTATATATAGGTCAAGACAGTGGATCAGGCTTGGCCTCGATTCACGGCATGGCTAATGTGGCGCCGATTGCTTTCGATGCTAGCAACCATCAAGCTGTTGGAACAGGCATAGTCTCTCATCCTCTGTGACCTCAAGGTACAAAATAGATCCAAATATGAAGTATCCAGCTGTTACCCGAACAAGACAGATCCGCGAATAAAAAGCCAAAGCTGAATTTCCGAATAAACGCTTGTTGTACTCGTCCGCAAATGGCGTCGAGATGCCGGAGAGGCGAACCTTGTTGCTACGTACGGTTCATAGCCACATCAAGCCATCAGCAAGCCCAGTTTTTACATTACGATCAGTTAGACCAGATCGTTGTTTACGACTCTTGCAAAACTGCGCATTATTTATTTACCATTTTCTAGTCCCCAACGCTTCATACGATCCCGACACACAACATGTTGATATGGCAAATCATTGCAGCCGGCTTCGTGCCCATGCTAGCTTTAGCAGTTCCAGCTATTAACGATGCATTGGATTCCAACAGCTTCTCGTGTGGCACGACACCGAGTGAGGAATTCAAGGAAATATCTAAGAGCCTTGCCAAAGAGGAAGCCATTGCCCGCAGGCTGGGTCGGAGAGCCGTCCATGAAGTGCAGATAAACGTCTATATGCATATTGTTGCATCATCAGAGGATGTTCACGACGGTAATCTGAGTGTATGTTTTCATCTACGTCCTCTCCTCTTTTCCCTTCATTGTTCCCGCATCTGTCCTCTGTTGTTATTCCAACCGTAGTTCTCTCTCCTGCATCTTGCATGATCCAAGTACTAATCCAGTAGCTAGGACCAAGACGTCACTAACCAATTCCAAGTCCTCAAAACCGACTTTGAGCCGACGGGTATCATCTTCAATCTAAAGAGCATCGACAGGACTTTCAACGCTACGTGGGCCAGTAATACCGATCTTAGGCGTATGTGGTACCATGTCCGCAATGGTAGCTATTCCGACCTCAATCTGTGGTTTATCCCTACGTTGGACCACTACGGATACTGTACAATTCCCGTTGCTGGCGACACACTACCATATGCGATCTACCAAGATGGATGCACGATACGATCTGATACAGTTCCTGGTGGCAGAGCAAATAACTATAATCTTGGGAAAACAGTGACACATGAGGTTAGTTGATGAGTGGAGAAAAAGAGCCAAGTGGCGTTTGTCCTGTTTAGAAAACGACCTGCTAAGATCAATTAGGTCGGCCATTGGATGGGCCTATTACATACGTTCCAAGGTGGATGCGAAGGTACGGGAGACTACATTGATGATACACCAGCGCAAGCAAGTCCGAGCCAGGGATGCCCTGAAGGGAGAGATTCTTGCCCCAACCAGCCGGGGCTAGATCCCATCCACAACTATGTGGATTATTCATACGAGTATGTTTTCGAAGAGCTTCTATACTTGGTTCTCGTGTGGTCCAAACGACTAACCTGAGTGTTCCAGTGCGTGCTACACCGAATTTACTCCTGGTCAGATAGATCGCATGGTGAGAGTTTGGGACGCATATCGAGCATGGGGTTCTAAACTACGGACACCATCTAGACCAAATTTCCCTATAATGCGGTTTCTTGGGTGATGCGCTGCAATATGTATTGTCAATCATCTCGCGAAGGATTTCCAGTCAGGGATATCTGAGACGATAGTAATGGGGAGATTATTGAAAGTCAAGTCAGCGTCAATATTGTGTTTTTGCTGCTTTTGCGTATTTCATCCGCCAATTTGGTGTCAAGGTAGCTACTAGGCACAAACAGACGAGTATATGTTGTTTAAAATACATATACCAATTATAGATTCTTTGTTTTCTTTTTTCTTCTGTCGTGCTCTGAAATGTGCTTCCAAATCTGTCGCGATCTTTGTCAAATGGTCAGTTCCCGGGCAAACAAAGTCGCAACAACTTTCCTTTGATGATTTTCTTTGTCCGTTTGTCACATTCACTCCGCGGACACGATCGGCGACCAAAGCCTGTTCTTCGTCTCGCGTTATAGAAAAACACTACAAACAAGTGCATAAAGGTACGCATATACCGCGGATGTTTTGTCGTCTGCTATATTGCTCCTAACTCCTAGAAGTAGAATCAGACAGTCTTTAAAAGCCAACGACTCAATTCTTTTTACAACGCGGCCTCTCTCTACTGTTTACCTTTTCCCCCTTGCAGTTCTATGCCAGCGGCCAGACAAGATGCCGAAAAAGACGAACGAGAGATTAGAACAGCTCAAAATGGCACATGAGACGCTGGAAATGATGATCCAGCTGATTAAAGACTTGGGCTTCGAGCCGCTTCTCGAAATCTCCCAATATCAAGAAACTAACGCGAAGAAAGCAGCCATCCATCATGGCGAGAAATTGGTCGGTATTTATCAAGGTTATGCCTCCATGCTCGAGGAAAGAGAGAAGTACAAAACCAAAATCGACTCATTGGCGGCACAAAACGCCGAAATACTTGGCGCTGCTGAGAAGATTGCATCGACCAAGGACCACTCCGGTCTGCAAGGGAAGAAGGCCTCCACCCGCAGAGCAAAGAGGAGAGGAGATCTTTGGGATAGGCCTAGAAAACGTCGTCGGCAGCCCAAGGTTGGAAAAGAGCAAATATCCAAATCGCCTCTATAAGTTGGAATTCTTTGCAAAGGAGCTGCTGTTTGATATAAACTCCCATCATTTCGTTATCATAAAAAGGCAGACTGGCGCCCTGGAAGTCAAATATGCTTCAATATTACACACAAAAACTATCTATACGACGAAATTCAGCTAGAGGGTCGTGACCAGCAACCGATTTTCGATTTTCTGCATATGATACAGAGTACTTTCTGAGAGCGATTTTAGTATAGGGTATTGCATGAGAAGCCATGCATGGAATAATGTGTCATGTTTGATCGATTATTCAATGAGCTACAGAGCTATAATCATGGTGATAGACTGCTAATAGTACATTTAATTAATTTACCATCTAGAAAGCTAGATTCATGACTTTCTTAGAAAATTTGAGGAAAATGATCTTCCAAAATCTTCTCACGTGATTGCGTCTGTCTATCTGGATCGCATCTGCCCACTGCATCTGCTTTTTCCAATAATGATGACGGACGATTTTTCAACATCTTGCAAGCGTCTACAGCTATCGATTTGAAAATTACTTGAGATTGCAGAATCATTGGATACATGTTTGTGATTGCCTACAATCTACCAACGACAGCATCCTTTCGGCCAGCAAAGACTTTTCTTTATTTTCGAAGCCTTCGAAGCCTACCCAGTTTGCTCCATTGCAATCGAGTCGAAAAGTTTGTTGATACCATGTTTTACAGAGTTAGTAGAGAAAGTCAACGCTGACCACGAGCTATTTCTATTATGCTCCCCGGAAACACAAAACAGGAGCCGTATGATGCGAGTATTTGCATTAAGGGCGCGGCTCTGTTGGAGCAGCTCCGTCTAGCACGTCCCCATATCACGCGAATCATTATTGTGTATAATCGCATATTTGCCCTGTTCTATTGCAGACAATTTCGTCTAGTATCAAAAAGAAGCATTTTATCTTGATATTCTGCGCCGCATGGAAGTTGGCAAATCGAAGTTTATATCCCGACAACGTTGACGCGGTTGAAAACTACACCACCGACGCGAAACGAAGTTTGAGGAGTATTCCAACTATCTATGAAGGATACCTTTTTCATTTCAAAGGACCGACGAATATTGATTGAGAGAAAATCCAGGATTTCCATCACCATTCCAAAATAATTCAGTCGAAAGACGAGGCGGACGCTGCTTCAACGAGGGGTCGTATTTAACTTTGTTTCTGTGATATTCTTGATCAATTTGCAATCACCAGCTTCTTCTTCCTCGCCCTACCTTCAAAAGAACACGATCAATACCGTGTTTGAGCAAACAATCTGCGACTCTCCATTTCAACTCAGATACCGTCCACGAAGTCTGCGTTTCTTCTTCTCCAAAGACGGCTTGCACTAAGCTGACGCCCAACCTTTTTCAAGTTAGGCGCTCCATACCAAAAGCTGAGCGCGTGGCCCCTATTGGCCAAGATGACGCCCAAACTTCCCTCTTTGGAGCGATTACCAAAGGGACGAGCCGTTAGTGACATATTATTTCCATTGGTTACTCAGCGGCTCAGGTCAGCCAGGCCGATTTCTCCAGCATCTGGGGGAACTACGACAAAAAAGAATACCTATTTATGGTTAATAGTATACGATATCGTTGATTACAAGTAAGTTTGGTGAAAGGTAACGAAGTTCTAGGAGAGAGTACGAAATCGCCGAGACTCAGCGATAGAAAGCCAACGGGGAGCTTATAATCGCAATAAGGAGACAGCGCCGATTTCGCATAAATTTCAATCAAATTTGCGGCCTCGAGAAAATAAATTCTCGTCGATGCTCGAAATATAATATCTTTGCTTCTGGGCATATCAATCAACATATGATAAGGGTAGAGGATGCGTTGGTCAATCTGGAGGAGGTGAAGCAACTTTTCAAGATATGCCATCGGCCCCCTGAATAACATTTCGAGTTCACAAGCTGTCCACAATATGCACAAAAACCACGCCACGAGTCGATACCAATGCTTCTTCAGCCTCACATTCTGTCTCGAATCAGGGTGGCCCAGAATGAACAAGTGCAGGTGTGTATCTCACAGGCAGAAGCGCCATGCTGTAGCCACTCGAGCCACCATTTGCGCTGCCCGCCGTCTCGGATGTCACTCGTCAATGCTCACGCAAGGAAGAATCTTGAGAACCGAGTGATTAATGTCCCAGTATACCGGGTCCTAACCCCATGGAGCTGCATGTGTCGATACTGAGGAGCGCACTGGATGGGTGGATGTAGTGATGGGTGGATAGCTAGGGATGGAGGCGTATTAGCACGAACGGGATGAGTAGGAACAAACTCTTTTTCAGCTAGATAACTGTGAATCTCGACGGCTGGTGACATTGTTGTCTGGAAAGCTTGACAGCAGTTGCTTCATGTGTGATGCTTTTCCAAGCTCACATCAGCACATGAGCTCAGTGTATAGGATCTAACGGCGACAAGGAGAGTGACACTCCGCCTTTTCATATCGGGAATTCACACCATTGTCACTTCCCAACAGCAAACAAGTACAAGTTTTGCCTCAAATAGAAATGGAGAAGGCTCCACGTTCGGCCACGCCGGCTTCAAGCCCTTCTACCTGTCCGAGTTCTACTAGTCGTCTTAGTTTTTGCTCTCTTCTCCCCAGTTGTCTCCTTCAAAAAGGGAGGCGTGGACCGCAATGGTGCGATCTCTGACTCTCGGGTCTCGGGCCTTTTCGGGCGGCGCCGTGTGTTGCTGGGAATAACATTCAAAGCCATTAAGTGGCAGAGTCGATTACTGGGACAGACTTCAGAGTTTTTCTCATTTTTGGTGTGGCTAGACTTGAAAGAAGTCCACATTTACATGCCATCTTTCCACTATAGCCAGCCTTTTGCCAGACAGAATAGTTTTTTCTTTTGTCATTATCATACCGGAAATGGACAACTGTTAATAGAAACATTGAAAGAGGGCATTAAATTCAATAGTGGTAAAAGTTTGAGCGCAGTGGCCGCAAACGTCACTTACATTCCAGTCGCCAATTGACATATGCAACTACCAAAATCTGGCAACGGTAACTGAATCTAAAGATTCAACTTTATTTTTTTCGTTATGACTTAGCTTTCATCATTAACTTATCTTTAGAAGTGCGTTCAATATAGCTTACTTCGCCTTGGGATGCTGCCGCAAAGGGCTTGTATCGTAAATTCGCTGCGTTTTGATGACGAAAGGGAGAGACGAGACAAGACACAAGACATAAGACACTTTGCTCTGCCCATTTCTCTACAACCTTGCAAAAAGTACATGAAGCACGCGTTTTCGAGGCAACTATCCAAAAAAAAAAATCTCGCTTACTCAAAAAAACGCATTATTTCTTCGCTCATCCGACAGTGTAGCATATGTTTTCAAGACAGGAGAATACAGTGGTGTACATCACGGCGTACTTGCTACTTACCTACCTACTAGTAGTTACGTCAACTGCCACTGCTCTTTCTCCTTTTCCATCAAGGCGTCGCTCTTTCTCCCGTTAATCCTTATCCTCCCTCAATAATCACCGCTCCCCTTTTTCTTCTCTTCTCTCTGTCCTCCTCTTGTCTGATTCTTCTTCTTTCCATCACAGGTCTTTCCAAGCCATGGCAAGCTCGCATAAGAGAAAGCCGCTTTCAATTCGGCCGTTCGCTCACACGCTCTGCCTCAGCTTGTCTCAGCTGCCCGGCGCTTGTCTCAGCTACCATTTCAGCTACTACCGCCTCCATCTCCAGCCTAGTAAGCCACAACCCCCCCCTGAACCCCCAAAACATCTCCCCTCCGAGACGCCTCGATACTCTGTGCATCCTTGTCCTGACTCAAATTTTCAGCCTCCAACAGGGCGCCACCTTGACATCCGCCGTGGTTGTTTGCCCCCGGGCCGCCGGACTGTCTCAATAGCCACGGATATCCCGTTTAGGCGCCGCACACGTACAAAGCATTGTTGTTCGGCATCTTGGCCCTCAGAGCGTCTCAAGCATAGGTATTCTGCCGAGAACGGTGGAGGGAGATGTCACCACGCAGTCCACCCAATCCACCCTGAATGGAGGTAGGTAGACGTTCTAGTTCAGGCTGGCGGGCCAGTAGAACGGGGTAGCAAGCAGTACGTGCTCGCCTTCAAGTCATGAGAAGAAGATGCTAGAAACTAATTCGAGCCAAGGAGGAAGGATACTGTACCAAATGGACACACCCGTTGGTGAGCCGTCAGCCACTGGCTGTCCACATTTCGAGCCTCTTTCCCACGCCGCCTCTCCATCTTTCCTTTGCACGGCTCGTCAAGTTAGTATCCATCTCCGGCAAGAGACCAAGGCAGCCCGTTGGAGTGCCCAATCTATGCCACGCTTCAAGCCCGCGGCGACAGAGAACCCGTTCCGCTGCCGCCGGCGAGGAACTCTATTGCCTCACAGTCCCACCCATCTCGTGCGCCTGTCATGCGTCGGTCCGCTGGATGAGGCGGCGAGGCCCCAAGTTGAACCTGGAATCTCCCTGCCCTTGACCGAGGGCCGGGGCTCGCTGACTCGTCCTTTGGCGTCAAGTCATCATTGCCCTTATTGTCTCTATTGAATTCCTTTGGGTCCAACCAACAACGTGCCTTTTACAGACCGAGAGACCAAAGTCAGCTTCGTACCAGGACGCTCTTGTCTGCGTCATTTGCATCCTACTCTCACTCTCTCACTCCCTCTCTTTCTCTCTTCACAACCATGTGCAAGTCACACAGTCAAGTTCGTCAACTTAGCCAGTGCTTCTCTCATATTTTGGCGTCTGGCTAAGAGCGAGAGAGGAAAAAAGCTCGGTGTGAATGAATCAAGCACGAGCCGAGATACTTGTATCAAGGGCATCCGTAGTACAAGTACCACTATATTTTTCACCCACACCCCCTAAAGCCCGTTGTCGTCACATTCAAGTCTTCCCTCTCCGCCGCACTCCCACCCTGCTGATCGGTCAAGCTATGGTGAACTAGTCTTCGAGCGGCTGCGTTGACTCAAGGCTGTCCCTGCCACGTTCAAATTTCATCTGCCACCCCTCGTTTCTGCCTTGTCA